CATGTCCTCTGTTCCCCTCCCCTCGTTAACCCAATTCCCATCCCCCCTTTTCGCTCTCGTCCCCCCCCCCCCCCCCTCTTTCCATTTAACGACCTTGCCCTTGGCCATGTCCCCCATTCCTGGTGCCCTCCGTGTGATGGGGGCAACACAAGCCAAAAGAAAAAAAACGTCGTGCGCCAAACCTCAAACAAAAGTGACAAAATTATTGAAAAAAAAAGAAGATGCTTCAAAAATCAAGCCGAGAAGTCGAGTTCCGAGGGGCTTTTTCAAGTCAAGTGCCTTCTCTTGAGTAAGCACAGCATACAACCGACCTGACCGTGTTCCCGACTAAAAAAGGTGGCCGAAACCACAAATACCGAAGGAGGGGTAAGAACGACGAGTCCCCACCGTGGCTGGGAGCACGGGTCAGGCGGGTCGGGTCACCGCCGCGATGGCGGCGGCCGGTGCGTCGTACCCAAGCAGCGGTGCTACGTAGGTGCACACCTCGTTGGCGACGGTTGGCTGTCCGCTCCCTCCAGGCTGTGTGTGGGCCTAGTCCTTTCCATGTATTATGTGAACCTGAGGGCACAGAGAGACAGGGCCGGCGCGGGGCGGGTCCGGGTGGAAAGGGGGCGAGGCGAGACCAGGGGGAAATTGAACAAGTGGACGGGGCGGGTTGCTGCAAATGATTGTGTCGTTCACGTCGATTTTCGGCGCAAGGACTTCGAGATGCGGGTCCATTGACGTGCTTGCTCAATCACACGACACGACACGCGTCTTTGTTTCCGGATCACGTGAATCGAATCTCGCCGCATGCCAAAATGCTCATATCTCGAGGCCCATGATGCTCTCTCCTCTCTCATGATACCAATTCCACTATTAATAGTGGAGACGTACACCGAAAACTCTGCCGTTGAACGGGACGCAGAACAGCAGCGGCTGCACGCACATGATCGGTAAGTGTCTCGCCTATTTCAGTACGTATTGCGAGACCCTTTCGCAAGCAGAGTTCCCTTTGCCCGGTTGTTGTCAGTCTTGCGATGCAGGGACAAAATCTCGGAGCACGTGCGGAATTCTACACATAAGGGACACGTGTCGTGTGGAGCACTCATGAGGGCATTCTTTTCGCCCGATACTCCGACCCCCGAAAATTATAGCGGGGGGCGATTTTGAATATACATGATCGTCATTGTGCATGTGCTTTATTTAATTCGTTCGCTCAGGATCTTCGACACCAGTAGTCTGTTAGACCATGTCATCAAGCTAGACAAATTCCTAAACCGCCGTGGCGCGCTAGAGTACGGAATGAAGCGAAATCGCCTTCCGCTGAGTCACGTGAAGTCTTGCCCAGGGTGTGGAGGAGATACCTGCGCGCAGACTACTTTAATCCAAAAGAGAAAACCTCCCCACACTCTGAAATCGAGCCATGCGCGACCGTCTGCAATCACCTCGGCGATCAGGTGGCCCTCATCTTAGCTGCTGTCTTGAGATGCAGCAAGCTTTTTCTGGCATGTAGCCGGCAACAAAAAGGGGGGTATTCAAGAACGAGCACAGCACCACACCAAGACCTTCGTGCCGACTCCTTCGTATCGGCAATCTACATCGTGTGTTTATCGGCCCTGCTGCCGCCTTCACGATAATCGGGGTTCGGGCGCTGCCGAAAACAGGCGTGCTGCAGAGGGGAGAAGGGTAGCCATGTCTCCATTTCAGAGGGTCGAAGGGAAAACACGTGGCCAGACGGTATGTACGTGCACGAAGACATCAACACAAGTGCCGGAGGTTACCCCCCAACACAGTTATTCCACCCTCACGACACCAAACTATAATGTCGCTGTCGACGTTGCTACAGCTGTCTTTATTAGCGTGCTGAACCTGTGCAGGTAGCGGAGAGACTACAGTGAGCGCCCGCGATAAAGAACAAGACCTTCAAGAAACAAAGGCTCAGATTCAGGTGAAAATAAGAGAAAATCGACGAAGAAACACTAAACCCTGTTTGTATAATGACCTATCTATATGCTCGACGGTGGTGACGAGGTAAGAAATTGAGCCTCGACCCCAAATCGATGTTTCTTGAACGCGGGCGTTAACTCTATATCAGCAAATACAAACCACGCTACCGGACGCAGGGAACCCTCTCTACACGCCACTGTGGGCGTCGGTCAGGTTGTGAGAACTTGTGGGTGCGTATTGTGGGCGAGAGACGTGAGTCAGGCGCGCATGTGATTGTCTCAGTAACAGAGAGGGTCACTGTTCCGAGCGTCCCACCCTGTTCGGCAGCAAAGTGAATACTGCATTTACCCTGTGGCAAAGAGCTATGGCCTGCCAAGCTCTGGAATACTTGTTTTGAACCATAGACAAGTCAGAGCAAGGGGAACCTGCATGTAGGAACTCAGAACATCCGTCTGGTTGTAGACATCAGTATGCTTTTCTGTCCAGTAAAAATCCGAATGAGGTCCATCGTGGAATTCCCGCCACACAAAACAAAATGAAGAATTGATCACAAACATGTCCATATCCATGTGGAACGGACTTGCAGTGGCGACGGGCACGAACGCCTGAAGCTGTTCTGATATTATGTGTTTTGCCATGGTACATGTGCTTTGCCATGGGTGCAATCAGGTGGGACATGTTAAAAGTACGGCTGCAGGTGTCGCCTGCTACCGCTCAAAGCGCTGTCGGTTTTTCCTTCATCAGAAATCTCGCGTTCATCACAAACGGGGTCACAGATACCCGCAAGTAGCGATTATTCAGTGCCAAAACAGCCCGAAACATCGCAACACACGGGGGTTAGGCCTATGAACAACGCGTGTGTTTCCGTCCTGACGTGCGGAACTCTGGCTGTTGCATCAGGTCTAGAGAGTCTCCACGTTGCAGTCTTGTAAGTATATTTCCGTTCTACTGCTGTGAGTCTCTTCTGATCTTGCGAAGACTCACACATCTGTGCGTCTACCCGGCCTCAGGTACCGATTTTGCTTGCTAAGGATCCGTACTTTACGGCATCCCACAGGTCGTACTGAAAAATAACGCAAAACCTAGACTACGTATGCAGCACGGACGAGATAGGCTCCTCCCCACGCTTCCAACACACGTGTTGGCCATCCACTTCATAGCACACCCATACGTAAGACGGTAGATGGTTGGGGGACACAACATGCATGCGTGCGTAGCTTTAATTCACATCAACCGCGCTATCCCGCTGACCAACGAGAAGACGTCAGTCGAGTGGCGAGACCACAAAACTCCAACAGCATGTGTGCCCGTGTCTGCGTGGTCCCGGTTGGATCGACACATGATCCTTCCAACGAGGGTGTGCTATCTGCGATCGCATCGAAACGGACACAAACCAACCATCGCGATTCTGCACACCACATTGCCCAGAACACAACCGAACGGTATGTCGGTCACTGCAACAGGGCACAGCTCGAGGTAGTCCAAAGACACAGCAGTGGTATCATGGGGTATCATGGATGGATGGTAGCCAATGGATGGAACGGTAGGGACCGCCGCAAGCTCGGTTCGTCAATGACGGCGTGAAACGCTCGCTGCAACGCGGGTCAACGACGATCGGATTTGGTATCATTGCAGAGGAAAATGCTCCTGGCGGCTATATTTTGTGTAGCAGAATCATTGAGCCATAATCTGCATGGAGCAAAATCTGCTTTACGCGAAAGCGACCCCGCTCACTCGGTCATCTACATGTCATCGGTGTACTGCTGTCGAAACATCTGAGGAAACCACCTTAACCCTAGACTCAATACATGCAGAGCCCACCTGTGCAAGCGGACTCTTAACAGTTTTAGTCTGGAACGCTACGATGGCGCCCGTGCTCAGAATTGGTATCAATTTCGGACCGAGGCTCCACATGTGGTATTTGTTGTTCCTCTTGAAGTCAACTGACTTAATGTTCTCGATTGCTGGATCCTACTCTGAGCGGCGCGTTTTTTTCTTATCCCTGTGCCTCCCGTCATTTGCGGCCTCTTAACTTTAGGATCGTTTTTAACAGTCCGTTATGTTGCCTCTTCGTCACTTCCACCCTTATCCCCATCCCAAAGAGAGCCACGCAAATCGACGCAAGACTGACACAGGGTGTGCTGTCTCGCCGCGGCTTCGACTTGCCATAGTGCTGTGTCGAGCACCGACAACCATAAGAGGCGGTAAAACAGAGTGTGAGGAAGATTAATAGGAGTTGAGCAGCAAAGTGGGCGGTGTCGTAACCGACACGCTCCAAGCTAGGAGTCGCGTTTCCTATATCTTCTCGCCTGTTAAGTCATCGATCGCTGCTTCATGTTGGTGAAAGTTCCGCGTGGTTTCCGCTCAAATGCAGCCATGCTTCTGTATCGCAACCTCTAATTTATTATCGTGAGTAGCTGAGGCTGCTTTCGTCTACACGTTTTCCACTGCGGGCGCCATCAGAATAATTTACTCCCCACAAGCCTAACATTGGTTCTGATCACTGCTGTACAGCAACGATGAACCCTTCGGCGATCACGTCGACTGCTGTGCCCCCCTCCTCTGTGGCTTCGCGTCCTGACTTTGTCATCTCCTGCAGGAGAACGGACTGTAGGTTGTGTGCGGAGGCTTGGCGGCGTAGGAAAAGCGAGTTGAGGCTTGATCCGGCCAGCCTGACAAAATGAGCCTACAAATATGACCCACTGCAACACGGAGAACGTCCCGACGTCCCTTGTGCATTGGTATGCCAGCAGCTTTTGATAATACTCTTCAGTGTACACTCGTAAGTGGGCGCGGTACCGTGCGACGAGCGGGGAAGCGTCCGTGGTGGCCGGTTTAGCCGGATGACTGCGATGAAACGCCATACACACCCGTGTGGATCAACAGCGCCCAGCACACATAACCTGGTATACGACTGGATGCTGCTGCACTCTTCTGGTGCAGTAAAATGCGCACCTGCCATCCTGGTGTCCCATGTAGTCCGGGTGAGGATAATAGTCGCCCTGTCCTTGGTCTCCATACCCTCCACCCCCCCCTCCCTCGTCGCGATCGTCTGGGTCATCGGTCGACTGCCCACGGCGCTTGTGCTGCACTTTGAGCCTCTTAGACCCGATCTGGAAGCCATTCATCTGCGCGATGGCGGCCTCTGCGTGCGATGGCAGGCTGTAGGACACGAAACCTGCTCGTGCATCACATCCACATGACCCGCCCCGACCGGCACACAAAATCGTTTATTGTGTTAAAATGGATTGGTTATACTTTGTAACAACGACCAGCATTCATACCTATTAGTGTGTAGCGGGGTGTACTGTCTACGTCTACGAACATATAATAGGTCAAGTACCTGGATACTCGACACGTAGCAATAACGACACCGACGCCTTCTCACCGAAGCCCTTGCTTTCCCCCGAAGCCCGGTCGATGTACACCTTGGCGCTCAGCACATGCCCAAAGGGTGCGAATGCAGTAGCCAAGTCCGCGTCCGAAAGATCCTGGGGCAGGTGATAAATGAACAGGTTCGCTCCCGGGGGGCCCTCGGCCGGCCGGGTGCCACCCCCGCCCCCGCCCCCGCCAGCCTCACCTTCGTGCATACCGCGCGCCCGGTGGCGGTCGGACCCAGATGGAGACCGCGGGTGCCCTCCACCACCGTAGCCCCCACCTCCCCGTGATGGACTCGGTGGTCCAGAGTGGTACTGTCCGGGTCCGCCCGGCTGAGGCGGGTACCCCGGCGCGCCGTAGGGGTAGTAGACGTAGCTCCCTTGCGCCGGGGCGCCCGGAGCCTGCCCACCCCCGTAAGCCATTCCGTATGGCATGCCACTCATCATGTGAGGAGACATAGGTGGCCCCGGCATGGGGTACGGGTACCCTGCGCCTTGCCCGCCTGCTCCCGGGTGACCCATCCACCCGCCAGCCTCGGGGTGGGGGCCGCTCCCGTGGCGGCCGGGGGAGCCGATTAGGCCGCCGAGACGACCCGCCGCGGCCTGCGTTCCGCGCTTGTTGTCGGCAAACTTGACCACCAGCGGGCGAGGCCCGCCCTGCATCGTGTATTGCTCGTGGAGGGCTTCGATAGCGTCGAGAGCGCTCTGGCGAGTGGTGTACTTGACAAACGCACAGCCCTTGTTGGTGCCGTCCTGGTTGCGAATGACATGAATCTCGCGGAGCGTGCCGTACGGCGCGAATACGGCCCGAATCTCGTCCTCGTTGGCTGACTTGGGAGCCATCCCCACGAAAAGTTTGTTCTCTTGCTCAGCCTGGCCTTCCGCGGGTCGCACCTGCAGCGGATTTTGACCCTGGTGTAGCAAAGCACCGGCCAGAGGGGGGAGGTGGGCCGTGTTGAAACACTCAAAATGTCATTATCGGGCCGACACCGCAGCGTTAAAATTGGACCCGTACTGATGTCGTGTACTCACGGCGGAGAGAGATGGGGAGGAAAAACGAAAAACAAACGGTACTGCACATGTACAACATCAATCGCGCACAGCAGTGGTGAAAAATCAACAACTACCTGCTGTCGTTCACGCTGCATCAACGATGTATGCATTGCTGAACGCCAAATTGGGTTTGCGAAACACGATTCAAGCAGGAAGTCGGCATATCTACTTGCTGGTCGTTAGAAAGAACGTGTCGACCGATAACGGCAGCAGGTGACAACATTCAACTTGCGCCACACGGGGGCGGCGGTTGGTTGAACACAAGCCTCCGCGTAGGGGCCAAAAAGCTAACAGGATGAATCGGTGTGGGCGGCAAGGTCACAAGGCGCAGAGGGAATATGCATACCTCGCCTCCCAGGAAAGCTCGCCGACAGAGCCGATTTGTACTTCGCACATACCATTCCGGAAAACTATCCCAGAGGCACACCGACAGAGGCTGGCGGAAACTTATTTTCATATTTTTTAGGATTGTTGTGCCACGCACGTCCTCAACGACCACTATTTGAATACCACTGAAGTAGCAGAGGTAGAATTATCGCACAGGAAGCGATGCCTGGTTGAAGTTTTGAAAAACTTAATTCAATTTCCGAAATACAGCATGCATGCTACATGCGGTAGCCACAATAACAGCTAAGAACTGTTACACCCAAGCATAGCATGTCTTCGCGCTGTATTGTGGGCCAATAAAACAGCCGAAAATCCACTCACCCGGTCTAACCTCCGCTGACCATGCAGCGCCGCAATCGCAGCATCCGCCGAGACCCGTGCGCAGTAAGTCAGGAAAGCACAACCTGCCCACAAAACGAGTGAGGTTCCATGCCAAATGTTAACAGAGACCCCATGTCACCACGGTGCTAGAGGAATTTCTAAGGCACGGGAATTTTGCACATGCTGGTGGGTGGTTGTCTTGTGTGCCTCGGAGTGTCCGTCAGTCAGTCAGTCAGTAAGGGAGAGACACAGCGACACCCACACATCAAGATCATGCTTCTCTTGTCGGGAAAATAAGCTGTGGATCAGCAGCCGTCGGGCTGGGACTCTACTCTCAGGGCCAACAGAAAGGACGCCAACACCGCTCAATGATACTCGGTCCTTTCGACAGTCCCCAGAGTGTGGTCCACGAGTACTTACGTGCCGCCGTGTTGCTGCGGTCTCTCGTGTTACTACATACCCACACGCCGCGGGAAGCGGCGAGGGTGGAATTACACAAAAACGAGAAAAAAATAAAATACGAAGTACCACAAATTCACAGTTGTTTGTGTGCTGTGGGTTGTCGGTGCTGCTGCTCTGTCTGTCTCATTGGCTGCGTCAACCGGAGCCAACGCGGCACGGCTGGTCAACAAAGCGTAGACCGCCGCGAGAGGGGATGGTTCCTTTCGCAGAGGATACACGAGATTGGTCAAAAGTCAACGAGCCACTCTGCTGCTGCGGATGCCCAATGCTGACCGGGCCAACACAGGGACTCCCGCCAGACGACTCGATACGCACCTCTGTGTAGACCGGAAATCTTGTCCCTTATCACTGCTAAGTCGAAGATCTCCCCAAACTCCTCAAACACCGGCCTCAAGTCTTCCTCCTCCATATGCTTTGGGATCTGTCCAACAAAGAGCTTGATGGCATCCGAATCCTGCACACAGAAGTTTGCAACCGTTGCCAGAATATACGCCGGTCAGGTGTCGAGAATTACAGGACGAGGCAAGGTTGACAGCCCGACCATGGGAGGGTGTGTCCGGTAACTGGTGCGACCAGCTACAAAATGTTTGTGTGTGTGTAACGTCTGATCACCTTATGAATCAAGCCCGCGGGACCGATGGAGGACTTTGCTTCGCCGCCAGCCAATCCTTCGAGGTTGATGTTCGCCATCCTGTCGGCAACTTCGTCATCTGCACTTCGCTGAGCCATGCTTGCTTGGCCCCTCTGCGCCGACCTCGATCACCGGCGGCGGTAGACACACTATCCGCCGCACGACACACAAAAGTCCGAAAAAAACAGGCAACGCGTCTGCTCGGGCGGTTCTTGGTCTACCCTCTGACAACTACCGTCACTGGAGTTTGAGCTGCACTGACACACACAACACCAAGCGCTTGGTCTGGAAATGACCGATGCGTCTGGGCGACAACCGCGAGGCCACCCACAACCCACAACGGTATCTAGCAGATCCCGCCCCGGTCCAGCTAAGTTCGAGCGAGTGTGTGAGATAAATCGCAGACGTGCTCTCTGTCGCTCTGTCGCTCTCGGCTTCTCGCTCGCTCTTTGCTCCTAGGCAGATTTTCACCGACCTCCGCGTCCCTCTCTGCTCAGGTAAACACCAGCCGCAGAGGATCAAAAGCGAGGCACACGGGAGAGGGCCCGCGCAAGCTGGCCAGCGTCGGTGCTTCGATAGAGAAGGTCGCGCGGTGTGAAAATTGGCGCTTGCAAGTGGACACACAGTGAGAGAGGGGTGGAGAGAGAAAATTCATCCATTTTATTAGCTCCCCTGGTCGCCAACCATTGCTCTGCTGTTGGGGTTAGTGGTTTGTCTTACACCTTTCTCTCAATTCCAAAAAATTCGCATTTTAAAAGAATAGTTTTTTAATACAATGTACGACGAAGACGCGAAGAAAAAGCACCACCCGTGTGTGTTGCGATCATCACCGCTACAAATATAAATATGAAGACATGAATGAAGTATTCGAGAGGTAGGTGCAATCCGTGCCGTGCTGTATGCAAATGAATGGTAACACGCACCGCGGAATTGTGAAAGGTTAAGGTTTGCATATATATTTATTTGTGCCTACAAAGAAAGATGGGTCTGAAGTTGATGTCTGTATGGATGTTGTGTGGAGAAAGAAGAAAGAGAGGTGCAGATATATATTATATTTATTTAGTCTATAATATATGGATGCACTCACTCGCTGATGAGGCATTTATTTATTTTGTGAAGTATTGACACCGATTGACACAGACAGAGTTAATTGTTGTTGTTGTTGTTGTTGTTGTTGCTGTTGTCTTCACATTAAACTCGTGTGTGTTGCTAATAATCCCAAAATCTAGCAAAGACGCAGTCCGTGGTCACAAAAATGCTAGATAGAGCCATCAGAAGATCTAAAGAACTCGAGAGTATATATACATATATATTGCCACCCCGGCTTGTACTTACTACTCAATTTCTTGTGTTGCACCAGCAGCTCTCATTCTTGATTGGCCCGAGCGCCAGTCTCATTTGATTTTAGATTTTACTACAAGCCGTGCCTTGCATTTCTTCCCCCGCACAGAGAAAGCCTGTGAAAATCTTTGTCCGAAAAATCGCCACGTTCCAAGTACCTACCTTTCTTCAGTCTACCCTCTTATATTTATTGTGCATACCTACCTGCACTACTGCGCTGTTGTCACTGTCCGAAAGGTTTACGCAGATAAAAATAAAATAGACGTGACGCCCATTCTACGAGTGCGGGCTCATTGTCGTAGCATCGCTCCCAGCAGTACCACTACTACATACTGCTGTATAGTATATCTAGCATACGACAGGGCAGACCACAGCGTAAATCCGGTCAAACATTATTGATCCTCACAGCGGACACACCGACCGCCTGCACGCAAAAAGCACGAAGAAAGGAAACAAGCAGTTTGTACATTATACTCTCTCTGTCTAGACCACCACGCGTCGCTGTGTTCAAGGGTGGGTGCAAACAGGATGATAGCTGTGCCTCCTTACAACGATTTTTTGTCCAATACCGATTTCCAAACATTGTATTTATTCACACTTACTGGTGGCGGGTGGGTGCAGTAAGTCCACAAACAAAATCTCGCGTCCGTCTGGCACGATCGACCGGGGAGAGGCGGGTGATTTGGTGCGCCCTTCTAACACCCGACCCGTGTATGTTGTGGGCATGCCTCAATCTCCACTAAGTAGACACAGGAACTCCCTTCACGCTCGACGTGCTGCATAACTCACGGCATTGAAGAGGACATGGCAACACATGCCCATTCGTTGCAACTGAGGGATACAGCAGCTACGACGAATAACCTGTGTGGAGCAGCAAATCAGTTGCACATCAGAACAAAAAATGCTTCGAAAGTATATCACATGGATGGTCGACAGCTGAAAGGACACACCTAAGTGATGGCTGAGTGTGTTTTGCCGACCTCTTTCTCCTGGCGCCGCAATCAGATATCCGCAACCACCCAATAATTCATGCCTAGTCGAAATGGAGACTCTACGAACAGGTTCACCGTTATATGTACATGGGGCCCATCCGTGCAACTCCCCACTCTACTCACTACGTCACGATTTGACACGCTTCTTCTTGTGAACCCTGTCCCATACCCAGGTCTCATAATCCAGGCGAATGTAGCTTGTCACTCGCATCATTTCCCCGTCCGCCCCAGGGCTAACCTCCTCGTGGTACTTGACCCTCTCCTGCTGCGACCCTTCTGGCATTTTCTTCTGGAAAAAACTCTCCAGCTTGGCCTTACCCTCCGGTCGCAGCGAATTGGCGTTTTCCAAGAGCTTCGTCAATGCTTCGGGCAGGTAAGAGGTCTCCGCATCTTCACCTCCCCCAGCGACACCAAGAACCATCATGGCTGCGACTGCCTCGATCTCGCCCTGCTGCGGTACGGGCATCGGACCATCTGCCGTTGCCGAAGGCTTGGCTGGTGCCTTCGGCTTTGCCTTCTTCCCCTCGCCGCTTGCTCCCTCCGGTAACTGCCCATCCGTGTTGCCAACGTCCGTGGCGTTAGCAACAACCTGTTGGGTTCCAGTTGCTGACGCCCCGGTACCAGGCTCCATGCCGGCCGTACTTTGTTCCCCCCCCCCTTCAAGTTTGGCCTTCTTCCTACCCGGTTTGCCTTTTGCCTTCTCCCTCGCAGACTGTTTCTCAGCGTGAATTGCCTGCAGTTCGTCCACATTGATCATCATCAACCCTGCTTTGCCGGGGCTCGCCCCGCCCCCTCCCCGCGTTCCGCGGGCGCCCCCAACACCTGAACTTGTCCGCCCGGAACCATGCTGGAGCCCCACGTAGTTCCGCGACAATGCCAACGGCTTGCTAGTCCTGCGGAGGCCGTCGGAGCCCGCGGATGGATCCACCACAGCAGCAAGCGAAACCCTTCGAGCTTGCGCGAGGTTCGGTGCCGCCGGAGTGGGCGCGGGAGCGAAAGAGCCCGGGGTCTTCAACAACCCTCCCTGGCCAACTCTTGACGCGAGCGCCGCCGCAGCGACAGACGCACCCCCTCCCGTCGGAGAAGAAGATGTGTTCGAGGTACCACCAACGTTGGAAGCGAGGTCTTCGGAGAATTCGCCGACAAAATCGTACTTGACGCTGAAGTGCGCATTGGCGAACTCCTGCTTTCGAGGCTGCTGTTTACGGCTGACGTACCTCTCCTCCAACGGACCGAAGTAAGGTGCCTCGCGCATGCGCCGAGTATCGCGGTTGCCGCCGATGGTACTGCCACCCACGACCCGCTGTTTCCCGTTGCCTGCCCGCTCCGACATATTCTGCTTTGCCCGCTCGAGGACTTCCCTGACGGTCTTGCGCAAGACGAAATCACTCTGTGAAGTCTTTGCCTCATCGCCGACGCTGGTCGAATCATCCTCGTCCCTCGGTAAGAGTTTTTGGCGTACAAGCCCGGACACTACCTGGACCCACTCGTCTTTATCGCTATCCGCCATCCCCAAAAGCGACGGTAGAACATGGTTAAGGGACGCAAGATGCTCCTTTCGGGCCCCCAGGAAGGCAATGAGGGCTTTCATCTGATACACCAAATGGCAAGAGACGACGTGGAATTGAAGCGGTGGGAACCGGTGAGCTTTACGGTGAGCGCAGGCGATCAGTCTGGTTTTCGCTCGAAAAACGAGTTTGATGACAGGGCTGTGGAGTACGCCGGTATCGTAGAGGGGTACTGCTGGATTCCAAGCAACACGGCGAACGTGTATGCATGTCGGCTTGCAACAGCGATTCCAGGTTATGACAGGGCTGTGGAGTACGCCGGTATCGTAGAGGGGTACTGCTGGATCCCAAGCAACACGGCGAACATGTATGCATGTCGGCTTGCAACAGCGGTTCCAGATAAACCTTCACACAATCAAACAAAACTATCCGATGGGTTGGGCCCTCCGCTGTGCGCGTATGGGTGTGGGTATGGGTGTTGTCGGCCCATATATTCCGGATGTCAGTCTTGACACCATTTAGTATATTGTCTGGATGCATCAGCCGGGGTCACACAGGAGCGAGGCCACTCAAGTTTTTGTTAGGGAAATGGACAGGAGTGGGTATACACACCTTGTCAGACAAAAGTGGCTCCTGGGAAAACCTCCTCGCGGCGACCGCCCGTGAGCGAGTCCAACCACTCCAAAATTCATTCTCACGCCTGAACAACATGGTCAGGCGCCATGCATCTACTTCTACGAACTATCTTGCACTTCCCCAAGTCCAACACCACCGTGGCGCACGAGGTGCGAACAAAGTTTGCCCTCCTTTATCCGACGTTCGGGTGGATACAAACACCGAAATCTTCTATTTCGTTCAAGCACCCGCTTTCGCCATCCGAAATACTACTATCGGGCCTCGAAAATCGAACTTCACGTCACCGCACGGAAAACCTTGGATCAGTCTCGGAACGTCTCCAGAACATTTCCAACACATGTTCTACAACGGCGAGAAAGCTGCTGGAGATGATGGATCGGAAAGTTACACCGTGTTTGTCGCGCGAGAAAGAGATAAAACGAGGGAGAGAGCAGCACCTCCTTCTTGTATACTCGCGCGCGCGATCCGTTGGGGTTCGTCGTGTGGCATGCCGTGTGGGCGCTGCCTGTGTGTGCGCGCGTGAGTTACACCTACCCCGGAAGGGTCTCATTAGTGTCGATTGCTTACTTGCTCGCCGTTGAATGTGTGTTTGTCAACCAACCAGCCAAACCGACCGGGCCTCATTGTTTCACCGCGGTCGGTGTCTTTGGTTGTAAACAATGCGGTGGAGAGTTTTCGGAGACGTTCCGAGACTGATCGATGTTCTGCCATGCGGTAAAGTGGAAGTTGATTCTCGACGCCCGAAAGCAGACAAAAGTGGGTACATTTCGGACAATGGTGGGTTTAAAACTAGTAGAAGTCGGTGGATACATCCACCCGAATGCCTGACAAAGTAAGGCAACCTGTTGCGGTCTTGTGAGCCGTGGTGGTGTTGGGCCTGGCGACGTGCAAGAAAATTCGTAGAAATGGATGCATGGGTCCTGGCCATGTTGGCTAGGCGTCAGAATGGAATTTGGAGTGCGGTTGACTCGCTCGTTGGCAGTCGCCGCCAGGCGTTTTTTCGAAGACCCACTTTCGTCTGGGAAGGAGGGGTGAGCATACCAACTTTCGTCTATTTCCCTCACATGAGTTAGATTTTTTTACCACTTCGGGATCGGGGGGTTGTGGAGTACAAGAAGTTGACCACGCGACCAGGTACTTGGTTTTTGGTCAAAGTAAAGAGAAAAAAATCACGAATGAGACGTGGAGCTTCTCCTCCACATAGAACATGAACGCGGTCACAACTTGGCTGGCCAAAATCATAGGTTGAAGTTTGTTACAACAGCAATGGTCAGTGAACAGACAAAGGCTGTTCCCAAAGCGGATTTCGACTTGAGACGCGAAAACTAGCACTTGGTCGGCTCCGTTATCTCTTTTGGTGCATCGAACTACGCATATGTAGTAGCAGTATACGGGAGTGCTGACTTGAGTTCGAAAGCGCCACCGTAAGGGCCTTACGATCTGTATTGGAGTATCCCACAACGCTGATGTGATGGAGTTACCTACGCACAGACGAAGGGAAACCAAGAGGTCACTTTAAGTTTCGATGTCCTACGAGAAACAACACTTTCCGCCCCCAATGATCGATCCAAGTGATAAGTTGGAAGCGAGAATATTTCCCCTGTTTTAGAACACGCGGGGGGGGGGGGGTGTACTCATAGTCGTGCATGCCGTAGTCGTTAGACCATTGACCTCGCATCCCTACAAAGCCGGGACGGAGCACGCCGGGTTCTCACCGGACCAGTCTCTCACAATCACCAAGCGCGAAGCGCCGTGAGGTATTCGGTGAGTCGCATGAAGGGTGCGCTGCATCCTGCCAAGGGTGTTCGGCATCTTGTGCTTACTTACTTGAAGAGGTCACTTTAAGTTTCGATGTCCTACGAGAAACAACACTTTCCGCCCCCAATGATCGATCCAAGTGATAAGTTGGAAGCGAGAATATCTACCCTGTTCTAGAACACGCGTGGGGGGGGGGGTGTACTCATAGTCGTGCATGCCGTAGTCGTTAGACCATTGACCTCGCATCCCTACAAAGCCGGGACGGAGCACGCCGGGTTCTCACCGGACCAGGCTCTCACAATCACCAAGCGCGAAGCGCCGTGAGGTATTCGGCGAGTCGCATGAAGAGTGCGCTGCATCCTGCTAAGGGTGTTCGGCATCTTGTGCTTACTTACTTGCGTACGGATGACAGCTGCGTATGACTTAATTTATTTTCTGGTGCTTTCACTTCCAGAGACAGTTATAAGCACTGTGTGACTGCCTCGAGGATGCTTGACCATTTTAACACAACGTGGTGGGATCATCCCCCTTGCGCGGAGTGAGGGTTCTCGACCCCGCACAACATGATCTACTCGACCACTATTCATGGTTACCGCAAAAAAAAAAAACAGAAGCAAAAAAAAAACAAGCGGTAACCTGGTTGCCGAGCTCACGAAGTGATCGTCTTGTTTTTCAACGTCGTTGCCAAATGACGAAACCACAACCCCGATGGCAAACACCGGGGGGGTGGGGGGCAACACGCGTGGAGGATATGCCAAAAAACTACTGCGCGTTATTCATTTTTGCAACACTGCGGTCGATTCATGATGTCCAACATAAAAAGTTCCAGAAACTTGTCGACGTAGATGTTTGTGTGGTGCGTCGTGTTCGAGTTCGCCCACTTCCCACCGATAATACCATGTGATGCCGCTTGACCTACAACATTTCATATTCTCACTAAATATCGGTAACGTCAAAGAGGATCTGCAACAACCTCGTACCGTCACGGTACATGACAGTCAGTCTTTCCACATGTCGAAGTCAAGATGTATGCTAATTCATGGGCCTATGATATGCTTGTAAATGCATGGTACCAGAGGTTTGATATACCCGCCTAGTGTTATTGTTCGCATTCTCAAAGTTTGGGAATTCAAAACTACAGAACACGCCACCTGTGATGATGAGAAGTCAGGAGCCAAAAAAAATACTGAACCAATAATTTAAGAACTTGAGCACCATTTGTGAGCTCGGTTAAGAACCCCTGCACTAAAACCTACATAGCGACCATTCGTAGCATGACCCTAGTATAGGAACTAAGAACCCCAGCCTCGAAACTACACATACATTACATGTAGAGGTTCTTAAGTGGTGGCGCGTTCTGTATACGGAAGAATTTGAAAAAAATGGGACATGGTCTTATATCATACGCATACTTTGTATGAATACGCACAAAAGAATCCACGCGGGTCTTCATCTGAGGGCCTCCATCCGCCCCCACATTTTTCGGGGGCGTCGTTCACAGACAGCAGTTGTCAGTTCGCAGGGGGTTACGCTCGAACGGTATCACGTCAAGGGGAGGGGTTTGGGAGCGTTTGGTGGTTTACTGCTGTAATGTGCATACAGTAGCGGTGAGGCGCGTGGTGCTCTACTTGTGAGACTCAAATGTGTGCGAAACCACGACAACCGAAAGAGGGCGATCGCCCGTCGAAGTGCCACGCCTTACGTGTTGCATGATGGAGCCCAGAGAAAGAGAGAGAGAGAGAGAGAGAGAGAGAGAGAGAGGGAGAGATACGGGGAAGACAGGAGAAAGGGACCTGCCTGTATATGATAGTCTAACAAGTGTAGGGTAGTTGACCGTTGATGAAGGTGTCTGTGTCGCACACGCTCCCTCTCTAGGATTGACTGCCGCAAACTTCAAAATACCTTCCAGTGTACACGGTAACGGCAAGCAACACTTGGGTGTTCTTAGGTTCCAAAAACACACAAAACACCCCCCGTACAACGCTAAACGCTAGCAAAACGGGGAGTCGCATAAAGATGCGGTCTGCAAGATCACAGCAGTATGTACATCTGTACAAGTAGCTGTCTCACGCTGCTGGGAGAAAAGACTTTTTGGCGTAGTCTACACGTTGCTTTTGAGGAAACGGTCCTAGGTTCAGCAACAGCTCCGCAGACTGGTGTGCTGGCAACGCTTTGACACAATACCGAGCTGCTGTAACGTTGAACGCCCAACAGGGTGCAGGTGACGCGCCCCTCTCCGCCCTAACTGACTAACCTTGATGGTGGGTTCGAGTGCGGCGAAACCGTGGAGTAACACTGATTCCACGAAGTCCGGCGTGAGCATTTGTACAACATCTTCGCTGCTCCAGTTGGCCCTAAGCCTCAGCTCGAACGCACGGATGTGCTTCGGGGTTGGCATTGCCTCTCCTCTGTCTGTGCGCTTGCGTTTGCGGCCCTCGTCTTTCGACCTTGGGTCACGTGTCCCGCTCTCTGGGGCTCCGTGAATACTTCGTAGCCCCCATACTCCCTGCCCACAGACTCGCTTCTGCCCAGGCTTCCACAATTGTGTGCTACTATGCTGTGTTATAGAAGGTGAAGTGCATACCTCTGCACTCCCTTGTGGGAGCTGCGTCTATAGCCCAATCGCACCCAACTCTGCGCCCGTGAATTGCGGCTTCCAAGCTCCTGATCCTGAGCGCGTTGCGAGGGATGTGTGCGATGATATCATGATGACATGATGCGATGCAAGATCGAAAAGATCCGCCTGTGCCTACATGTAGTTGGTACCAACATAAGCTCCCTTTGTGAGCTGATTTCTACAGGCTGCGGACTTCCGAAGAACCATCCCTAGTCTATCCCATGTCACGATCACAACAAGGTGCCGCGTATCGTAAGACCGTGAAACTGCAAGGAGGGACGCAATGTTGCACGTTTTTATCAACATCTGAACACAGAGGGATTTAAACCGTACGACGACCGAGCCACCACTTCAAATACATGATCACCACGCACGTTCAGAATAAACCCCGCCGATGTCGTTGACGGGCAAGGACAAAACACGAAAATGACACCAACGAACAAACAAGTTAGTCTACAGCAGCAGTAGCACCAATGATGATATTGATGCCGTATGAAGCCAGAGCTACGATCCACATGAACATGCCTAGGTTGCGCAAATTTACCTCCGTAAAACATGGTCAACCTTGTCGTGGGCAGCCGAGATAGTCCCCTAGGCCGAATCAGCTCATCCCAACGTCAACCTCTGGTCACAAAAGGTTCACCTGAAAAAAGCACCCCATCACCCAGACAACGAAAACCCGTTGCCCTGCAAACGCCCAACTATTTAACTAACGCTACAGCCACCGTCTTCGTAAAATTCGCTCGCTTCGAATCCCGAACTATTCGTCGAGAAGGTCAGAGGGGGTCCTCCGCCACCCATTTCTCCCTGAGCCCGTCCAGCGTGCGGCGTCGTGTCACTGAATAACGGCCGCGCTTCGGTTCCTTCTTCCAAAGGTGAGGATGTACTTGGGGGAGGGAACGCCATCGAGGCTCGAATTGTCTCGTCAGCCGTCGAAGTCTGTAGGAATGTGTCGGCTCGCGTCGCGGAGCTCGCGTACGACTGATAAGACGTCTCGAGGCAAGCAGGTGTACAGACGAAACTGGCAGCGTGAGAAAGTTGACCATATCAGGTACTTACTCTTGACAAACAGCACTTGCAAGCAATTGGAGCCAGCCGCCAAAGGGCGATGTCTTGGGTTGAGCCAAAGACCCCTTTGGAAATCGGCCGCATCGCTGACGATAAAACCCCATACTCCAAATTTCTGTCAATCTCTGAAATACTGGGCGCTTCTGACCTGCGAGCGACGTCGCAAAGGCACCACAGGGGAAGCGTGTTTGGGCTCCCACTCGCTGGTACTGCTTGTTAAGGACCGCCCGAAGTCGCCGGACGGAGACACGATCACATCATCGCTCGCGCGGTAACTTGCCGGTTGTCGTTGATCTATCGTGGGAGCGATATCATCCTGTTGTTCGGGGAAGCAATCATTTGAGCGAGAGAGCGTCACACATTTGGGAATGAACGGCCACGCGCTTGAGGTGCCGTTGCCTGATGTGCCAGCACAAGTCGTCTCTTCAACTTAGAACGCCAAACGTCGACCTCGATTCCTTCCGGTATGTATACAAAGAGTCGACACAGACATGATACATATACTCCATGCGTTTACATAAATCTATTCAGTACTCATGCACTGCACCTTCGCCCAGGACACGCTGAAACTCTTTGCAGGACCCCGCCGCTGGTCAATACTTGTGGGAGATTGGTTGGTCACCCGTCGTACCTGATATTTCATTGGGGTACCATGAGCAAGACACAACAGCACGTTTCGAAAGGCGAATTCCAAATTGTGTTTTAGTTCACGCTCAGGATCGATTCATGGGTTCAAAGCTCCTTTCATCGCACTCATCTCAACAGAGCAGCATAAACACAATGCCTTAGAAACGCTTCATCTTCGATGCGATGCGACAGCAGTTTTGAAGCTGCACAATACCATACCGCCAGTGCCCATGTGGCACTTCACGTAAACTCGAATTTTCCTGCCAACCCACCTGTGGTGCTGCGCTACCCTCTCCGGTTGTACCAGTTGAGGGTGTCTCTTTCCCAGTTACCATCTGAAGCATCCCTCCAAGGCGCCACTGATGATCCTCCTTCGATTCCGGAATCAGTAGCGGCTTCGACATGCAAGACGGTGGGGACTGCAAAAGCGGCACGAATCGGCGTGGTAAAACAAGCAGATGTATTATACGACTCTCATCATCCGAGCTGTACATGCTAGGTATACGCAATGGCCGGCACGTGCTACATACACTAAATGCCAAGTATTTGCCGACTTGGCGAAACAACGCATCACATCATGCCAAACGCTTATGGAAGCCTCTTCCGTGAGCTTTAGATCAAGAGACATGCCTCCGCCGCATATCCAAGCACTCCTGGACACAAGAAACTTAGCAATTGAAACAACAAATTACATTGGTGCTCACATGTCGCAGCGCGCCTTCCACCTCCGCGACACAAGAAACAGTGAACGAGTATATATCCCCCGCCTGTAGGCCATGGACGATGGCTGATGTCGTTTGCGACTGAGGAAGGCAGAGGTTTTTTCGAAGAGCGATCCCTCTGTCGATGATCTGCGAAGAAATCAAGGGTTGGGCACGATAACACGGTTTCGTTGTAGCACCTCCTGATGTTGGCATTCTATGGGGCTAGCTCTGATACCCGCAAGGATAGAGTATCTCCAATTCGTACTGAATCCTGGGGCCAAGAGACCAGGCACAGGGTATGCCACTGCTTGAAATTTCACCAAAAGACCGGATCTTCCCAGTTGGAGAGGTTGGGGCAGAGCAGAGAGCGCACCCTACACAAGCACGCGTAAAGCTTGCTGCCTGCACCAGCCGGCGCGCTCAGAGTGGGGTGTATAGTTTACCTACCCTTACTAGCCTTTGTTAGACGAAGCTCCAAGCCTTGGACGGTATTCTGAAGGAGTACGAGCATGGAATGTAGAAGGGCAATATCGCGGGTAAATAGCAAAAAAGTAGCTGTGCAACTTGCATTCAAACAAGCCTATGAGAAAGGAACGGTCAGACTCCCACCCTAGGTGCTTCAAGGTACAACTATGGCTGCAATACAACGCCTCGAAAGACTGAGAGGCTCCGCTCCGAACAACCCCACGCCCACATGCAATAGATCGGTGTCGGGCTACGGCGTGGCCTGTGGGCCGTAGGAGCTGGTTTTCGGGTCTCGCTATCGAAATCAACTCGGCGATCTGGTCTAAAAAAGAACATACAACGAGAGAAGCGAGAAGAGGAGCAATTCAATCGACTTCTTACCTCTTGGGTCGAGAATCAAGGCAAAAAACTGCAGGCTGCCACCTGTGTTCACTCTCTGTCCGTGGCAATGTGGGCTTTCTTAGTCAATGCTTTATCTCGAACCTTGCTTGCTTGTGAAACGAGCGAACTCAACATGACGAGAAGGCCCTTGCTTTCTCGTTTTCCCAACGGAAAATCAAGCACCAATGGACTGGATCTTCCTTGTAGCACGTCATACAGCCGAAACAGGCACAGCACGCCAGCTGCTGCAACGCTTGCAAGCAGCTAGGCTCCCGTGTGCAGCGACACGTGCAGGGACGCGTGCGTGATGGGCGCATAGATCTATGCTACCCAGCGTGGTGAATAACTTTCAGATCGGTTGCGTGTATCTCGCCCAAGGGTGAGAGAAAAGTGTGCTGTCGGTTTGATTCACCCCAAATTCAAAGAAGTATCATTTCATCTTTGTTTTTCTATGTGGAACAATCAAGTGGCAAATCTCCGACAAATTTTTGAGTGGGAGCAAAAGGCAGTGCGCTTTGGCCTCTTGGGTCCCACATGAGGTGGAACCTTGAAGACTGTCACCCGCATTGAACTCCGCCTGGGTGAGCTTGCTCTCACTCAGGTTAGACATATCGCGAGACATCATGAGTCAAAACGGCGACGGTTCAAGGAGCAAAACGAGAGCGCGCGACGGCGAGAAAGGGCAAACAACTTGTTCGAGATAAAACGATTCTTACGGAAATACGGTTCATTGTACAGCATGGTCTCTCATCCCCGCTCTCTCGCCCCGGCAGATGTAGATGCAAAGTGAAACATAGCGACAAAGTCAGTAGATCACCAAACTACATGGCCTGGAAGCCCAGAAAGTTTGAGATTCACCCGACCTGAGAGGTCAGAGATTGCTTGGCGGATCATCCCCTTGCACGCCGATGCTGGTGATTTTAGCTGTGTACAGGCAAACATGTCTCTTTTTTGTGTTGAAACAGAAACGAAGACAAGCCTGGCCATGGGGTCCATACGCTGATGTCTACCACGTATCAACGGTCTGAGGGTGGCTGCATGGTATAGGGTAACCTCTGGCCGTCACCCTACCGTGGGAATTACGGCCGCAGTTGCTGATATACGCTTTCAGGCGTGGAGCGTGCTCGCTCCGTTTTTATATGCTTGTTTGAAGGCAACTTGACGACTTTTCCCGTTTATTTTCAGCGATATTTCTCCGGGAGAGCCATCTACATTCCACCCTCGTTACTCCTTCAGAATACCGTTTACGGCTTGGGAGCTTGCGTGACAAGGCTAGTAGGGCCAGGAAGACTATACAGCCCACTCTTAGCGCGCCCGCTGGTGCAGGCAGCAAGCTTTACGCGTGCTGTATGTGTGGTGCGCTCTCTGCTGTGTCTCAACCTCTCGAACTGGGAAGATCCCGTCTATAGGTGAAATTTCACGCAGTGGCATGCCCTGTGCCTCGTCTCTTGGCCCCAGGATTCAGTACGAAATGGAGGTACTTTATGGGCGAAGGGCCTGTCAACTTTTCCAAACCACGCGCAGGTGCACGGTGCATGCAACGCACGAGCGGTGACCACGGGGTTGATGGCTGACTACCTCAAGTGCAATCGACAGAACTCGCGCAGCGGTAGCAAGCTCAGCTGTGCATCTTACCTGATTTCGGCAGAAATCTCTCCGAGGCACGTCTACTGTTGAGGTCTTCGTCCGGATCACCTCTTTTCCTTTTCCTCGGCACCACGTTTTGAGGTAAAATCTCTCCACGTCTCCGCATAAAGTCGGAGCAAGACTAGCCTGCGACGGCACCCTCCACCGAACCTCCACAGGAGGGACCTCCTCCTCCGGCTCGAGGCTTGATCGTTCAGCAAGCGCTGCGATTACCAACGTTGGCGACCTTGGAATTTTCTTCGGGGGTTCGCGAAGGACATCTAAGACGGAATCGTGTGTACCCCCCGAACTTCCACCGCCAAGGTGCCTGTGTCACACGTGGCGGAGGAGCAACGTGAAACATGGACACTAGGGTTTGATATCGAAAACAAACACGTCACAGGGGGCACCGCGTTCCGTTGTGACCAAACCGAAATCGACCGAAACTTGGGGCAAGGTAGATATGGTTATTGCGGCATTTAGTGAACTTTTGATTCCGTCCGATGCAACTTGAATATTAGGCCCACCTGGCTTTCTGGGCAAAGTCGAACGCAGTTCGTCCATCGTCCGCCCTCATGTCCAGCCGAGCCCCAGCCCTCAGCAACAACCAGCAGCATTCCTTGCTTCCAGTTAACGCCGCACTCATCAGGGGCGTATATCCTAAGCTACTAGACGTAATGTTAGGATCAGCGCCCGCGGCGAGCAGCTCCGAAACGCAGGTCACGTATCCATCGTTGCAGTCCGGCTCGGGGCGACGACGATGGGACGCAAAAGCCAAGCGGCCTCCCATGGATGAGCACCCTGCAGCTAAATGCAGCAGGCTCCAACGTAGGTGGTGGAGCCTTGACAACGTGTCCGGATTGCCTCCATCTTGCAAGAATTTCGACAGGCGAACAGAGTTGCCGTGCTCGGCCGCTTGAAGAGCTTCTTGCATGCCAACCGCCCCGCCGTTCATGGCTTGGTGGGTGAGGCCTCCCGCCTCGATGTCCCGGGCATCCATCGGAGCGTCCGTATCGCCTGGGTGTTCGTACAAGAGCGTCGCAGGGACCTTGTCCTCTTTGCGGATTAAGTCAGCAAGGGAGACCAGTCTGGGATTTTCATCGTCCGCCGGCGATACGTTATTGCCATCGTTCGCCCTCCACCCGTACCGCCCCCCTGACCCACGTTGCTTGTTCGCGCCTCCACCTCTCCATCGGGGACTATCGTAACTGGTGCTGGTGAATGGACGAGGACCTCCGCCGAACGCGCCACTGGCCTCGCTCTCGGAGCGACGGTGCGCCCGATTCCCAGTCTTCCGATCTGCGACTTCGGGTTCGCCCTGCTGGTTCAGACTCATGTGGACGTCTCGTTCCCAAGCGTACAGCGGGCTGCGGTACACGTACACAGCAGGTAGACAGTAGTGGTGGAGACGCTCGGCCGCAGGTATTTCCTGTACGACCGCAAAGGGTCAGGAATAACTTTATTCGCTGCGCCAATTCATCAGCATGTATATATGTCGATGCCGGCATAACATGAATGTGCCATCCCAAAACTCTTGCAGGCAGCGAGTGAGTCTTTTCGCTCTGCAGCTGCAGCATACATGTAGTTAGCAAGTTAGCAATGCTTGCTGCGGATAGACTTCGTGGATGTAACGTTTTCTTCCAGGCATCCCCAATAGAAGAAACACTTTACCTAGCATCAGTGCTACATAACGTGTGTTTGCAGCAGCAGCAGCAGCAGCAGCAGCAGCAGCAGTAGCAGCAGCAATGTAGCGTATTGCTGGAAAATATGGGGCTTCAAGGAACACCTGGAGAGATAGTCTACGAACACCTACAGCAGCGAGAGACCTACACATTGGGAGAGAACTGACACCTGGAGAGAACTGTTTCCAGAAAAGCACCATGGTGGCAGTATTGTCTCACCGTTTCCAATGTGTTTGGTGGACCCAGCACGCAGTGCGAGGTGCTTTTGGTAGCTGTGGCACTGGCTATGGCAGGCCTGCAAGCACGCAAGAGGACAGAGCGGCAATGCGGGGAGTTCAGTGAGATTGGATCGACTTTTTTTCAGAACGGGTAGAGAGATGGGCCGAAGCGTTCCCATTTTTACCGCGCGTCATCTCCGTCGTCCGCAAGAGACATCGCATTGTACTCCGGTGGAAGAAGTTTGTTGTAGGTAGTCCACTCTCATGCCGAGACCTCGCGATCCAAGTGGCGATAGCGATGATGGGAGCAGTAGTCGTGACGCCACCAAATCTAATCCCTCAAGCTCAAGGAGCAGCAGCAACAGCAGCAATAACCGATCTCATGACGACAGCGGATCTTTCTCCTCGTCGTCCGCCAGCAACGACTACAGCAGTAGTAGCACCAGTAGCAGTCCCAGAAATTTCGTGGCGGGGTACGATACAGGAGGAACCAGCGTCAACACGTCCAGTTCGAGGAATAGCAGCCGAAATACGACGAGTGGGTCGGATAGCTCATCTTCGACTTCCAGCGGCGACGATGGAGGAAACACGACAAGGAATCGAATGAAAAATCTGTTCAAGAAACAGTCCGACGAGGTTGCCGAGATAGAAGAGCTCGGAGAGCTGAACGAAAGGCGAGTGCGGCTTGGCGAACGCGGCTTTGGTGTTTACCATGGTGTGTACGTAGCACTACATGTGCTATGGTAGGAGGGGTTGGTTTGAACCCCCAGGGTTAAGTTGGCGGAGGGTTTCTGTACATGGAATTCTGGGAGACTGTATCGAATCCCCCCGGAAAAATTTGTCAACGGGGGGTGCAGACGGTTGGTTGTTGTTTCCAGCAGAAAAGGACTAGGACATTGAAGGTGTTCGTCCTCAACCCTCGTGGCTGCCTATTCTCGTACTCTGTAATCTTTGGAACTACAGAGTGGATGCTAAGCTTCTGGAGGAAGTACAGGAGTATGACGCAGTGCCATCCGAGGCGGCATCCTATGGAAAAACCACTTTTTGGGACGAACGCTACGCAGGGGACGGGGAGGTGAGATCTATTTGCAGTCGATTGCGGTCGAGCACATTGAACAAAGGTAGACGCACGTTTCCAAAGAAAGGTCACTGCTGACTACTCGTACAAGCAAGTACCACCTGGAGATCCAAAGTGTTATGTTTGACACAGGCGATGCTATCTCTGTCTGGATCTTTCCCGTATCCCATCTCCCAATCGAGTTTGTTTCTTCTTCTGCGGTTGGTTGTATTTGATGACCGACTGCGAAACACCTTTTGGTTGCATACTTTGGGGCGTGCCAGCCGAGACCATACATAACAAGTCCTGTACATCTCTGTTTTGCAATAACATGGAAGATTTATCGCAGTAGCATATATTTTCGATCCTGCAGCCTGTTTCATACCCACACCATCAGCAAAACAAGAATAATGGCTCAGTTGGCCCAGTACCATACTACTACTGGAACTGACTGCTGTTCCACAGCAACACAGCACGCGCCATCACTGAAGGACGTGTTACGTTCCCCCAAGGCTCGGTTCTTACTTGTTCTGTGCGGTTACCCGACATCGTTTGGGTATTAGCTTGGGGTGAGGTTCAAGTTTTGATATGGAGGCACCTACCTTAGCAGCGAGCGTCATCTTGCTATTCAACCCAGCGGCGAGGCAGGTGAACAACACTTGCAAGAATCCATCATCACGCCTCTCCTCTCCTCTCTACCACACATTAACTTCCCCTTGCGACTGCGAACGCATCATACGCGCTGGGTGCAGGTGGTAGAGTGGTACCACCCGTGGGGAAACCTGGCTCCAACCCTGACTCAGTACATGGACGAACAAGACGAGGTGCTGGTATGCGGTTGTGGGAACTCTGAGATGAGCGTCGACATGTACGATGACGGTGAGGGCGCAGCTTCACTCAAACACGTTGTTGTGTTTCCGACCTCCTGACCACACGATTTTGTTTCCCACATCGTACTGCTCGTTGCTGTGTTTCAGATTGGGTAGCCAGGTGTCAAGCGCGAAGCTTACTGGTATAGCTTAAGCTGAAGTGACTCCACCACGTACAGGTGCTTGCGGGTTCGGTATCAGCCCCATGGGGGTATAATGGGGCATCGAACTTCCCGTGAGGAAACCTGACCAAATACTCTACCACCTCTCTTCTTGTCCCCTCCAAGGGTTCGAGAACATCGTGAACGCGGACATTTCCAAGGTGGCGATTCACCAGGTGACCGAGATCTACAAAGCCTACCCCATGGAGTGTGAGTGTAACCATTCGCACACCAAGTGTCGCCTCCAACAGAGCGAGTGTGCTCGTGGGAGAGCTAGGGGAAATTCCGTTTCCTAGGAATTATAGCCACGCTCATCATACGGACATCTAGCAACTGGTGTTGTTGGCCAGACCTGGAAAGAATCAAGGCCTCTGTTGGTCCCGGATGTAAAGCGCCTGTTACATAAATAGTGATCGAGAGGCAGTTGGGGGTTGGGAGATAACATTGTTTCACGCCCATGAAGCGTGCAATTTGTCGACCGTGTAGACATCAACCTTGAGCCACTTGCACGCATCCGCCCGAACGATTGAGCTGGAGCGAAGTGGACACTCCTTGTTCTGCTAAACACCATGCGAACTGGTGGGCATGTCGTTTCCAGCACCCTACCGTGCGTGATATGTACGACATCTTCCCTCTTCCCCACTACCCACCAATCCGTGTCTCTTTTCGTTCTTCCACGAAAAGTTGACGCGGTGCTGTAGCAGCCTCGATATCATCTCTAGTAGTGCTTGAGCTTGAGGTGGTCATGTTGGTGGTCATGTTTCATATTTTCAACACGTCGTTAGTGAATGATACGGGTTCGCCCGCCATTTTGGCAGAACGTAGCTCGCCGCTTTCGCAGCGAGTATGCTGACTACGTTAGAGTAGTACAGCGCACGAGGGTCATATTCCCACAAACATCTTGAGAGCGACAACCGCATCACGCTCTGTGTGTACTGCTGTCAACACCAAATGAGGCAAACGCACCGTCACGTGAGTGACCCTCGAAGTTTGGCAACCGTCAGGGAATGTTGCCATTCGACGCTGCCATCATGTTTATAAGATAATCGCTGCGAATACCGTAGTCACCCCGTTGTCCGGTTCGGGGAATGCAGCTCACCCGTTGGACTCACTCTCTCAGCATCTGGCGGGGATTCGAGCTTGGTGGCACTGCCAGCCCTGTCCGTGAAAACATGACATGCTCCGTGTTGGCTTCGTTCGCACAGCCGTGGTTATTCACAGCCTACAGTCTTCGGCCTTGTGCATGACTGACTATGATCCGCTCATCTCCGTGTTATATTGTTGTCGACGACTGTGACCGTCTCTGGATGCAGGGAAATCGATCGACCTCACACGCGAAGAGTTCCCAGAAGAGAAATTCGACGTCGCCCTCGACAAAGCCTGCCTCGACTCCATCGCCTGCAACCTTCGGGGAGTGGTGAACGCGGAAAACTATCTCCAACAGATGGACAGGTGTGTCCAGCAGGATGGCCTTGCGAGAAATTTGTTGGAAAGTGGAACGCGTTGTCGTGTATGCCCCAGCTGGTTCGTCGCCGCTACCTACTATCATTGTGAAAATGTCCGAAGGTGCACTGCATATGGATGAATGTACTTCGCCTTCTGTTTGTGTATGTGCTGTCTCTCGTTAGTACTCGGATAATTGCGACTGGATTTTTCTTGTTCAGTCGGTCGATGGTCAAACAGAGTAGGTTTAAGACAAAGCGCTTTACGCAGGGAATTTGAAACGTTTAAAACTGCCTTTGCGTTCGTGTAGAGCATGCCTAGAGAAAGCATTCGGAGGTGGTACATCCGTTGCCTCACCTCGCTCTCTCGCTCAACCAACTGCTCTGTCATCTCATCTTGCCGCTGACTAGGTTGCTCCAGCCAGAAGGGGCGTTCATCTGTGTGTCCTTCGCGCCCCCAGAAGAGCGCCTGGAGCTGTTGGAATACTGGGATATAGACCAGCCGGCAAAGTGCCTTGCGTGGGACGTGCACGTCGATACGATAGGCGAGTCGAGCCCCTCAAATTTTCATCCAGCTGTTACGTGTTCTTGCTCGCGGGTGTGGGTGCACCGCTGAGGGAAGCAACTGGCCCTTTTGTGGGGCTCTTTTGTGGAGCTTTCGCGAATGACCAACCATTGCGTTGTATTAAATCTGTACAGTGCCAGGAAAAGAGTATTGCAACTAGTGCAGGGACTTTCAAGGGATTGGCACCGCTGTGTGGCATTGGTCAATGCCCCTCCTCTTCAGCACCCAACACGATACATGAGCTCTCGCCCATCTTGGCTCCGTGAATTTCGATTGAGAAGTCGCTGAAACACGTGTTGGCTTGGTGCATTTCGGCGTGCAATGTTGATGTTTATGCTTCAACACGCAAACGGTTTGGCGGAGCGTCGCTCTGGAGGCATGCGGCCCACGACAAAACCGGGGCCATGACTTGCTCGTGCAACCATGCTTGAAATTGTTCCCCCGCCGCGTTGTTCACGAGGGGGGACTGTAGTGAGCCTTGCTTACCGGTTTTCAAGACAGGTAGCCACGTATCCACTCATCAATGCCACCAACTCGTCGTATCTAAACTTTCACGGTGCACCGTGCATGCCCTTGCCTACTCTGTACCTCCACAGCGAAGCCAGAAACCAAACAGCGGCAGGGGGCTGAGAACGACAGCGACGTCTACTACATCTACGTGTGCATCAAAGACCCCAGCAAGGTGATCGTACTGTAGTTCGGCAGAAAGCCGGTGTAGATACGTACATGTAGCAGCCCCGTTCGTGATTTACCAGGTAGCTGTGGAGAGTAGTGAAGGCGGCCGGTCGATGGTACCGATCAGCGTAGACAGGCTTGATGTTCGATGTTATGGACGAGCTTGACGAATGTGTTTTCTTTGCGGGTAATGACACGGAAGGTTGGACGAGCAGCTGTTCGGGTGGCCATCTTGTTAAACATGTGGCGTGAAGAACCGCGCCGTGAAAACTGTTCCCGCGCTCTCTGTGCAACACAAGCAGTGGTGCGAATGGGGAGGGGGGGTGTTTTTTCGATCTGTCTGTCTGTCTGTGTGGGGTGCCCCGCTGCCGTTCGGTGTCTCTGTGTGCGTCGACGTGCTCCATGCCTCTTGTGAAGATTTTTCCGAGTTTTTTTCTGGTGGCAGGAGAGAAAAAATATATCCATCCATCAACTAACTACCGTAGCATGTGAAAGAACGTACCTACACAAAATTGCGCAAATCATACCATCAACCGTGTTGCGTGCCAGGCTCGGCGGTTGACAAAACACAGGAAGAACAAACCTTGCCGAAAAAACAACTCAAGGAGGAACAGATAATGCACGATTACATGGATGGCCGGGCAGGTCATGATGTATGTGTTGAATATATTTATTTGTGGGTGCGCAAAAAGTCATGGGTATTTTGCTACTCCGCATATTATATCAGTCAGGAGCCTGGTGAACTTCTCATCCCCACAAAGGGGGAGGAGAAAATATATATGTAACCACAGGAAGAAGAGAAGTAAGGTAGTCCTGTTGGCATATTATGGCGACAGCACAGCCGCAGCGCGTCGTCAATGATCGATAGTTAATCCTTTGTTGATTGGTCGTGATTGTATATTGAGCGCTCTCGCAACTTTTACCGAGCGACGAAGAAGGTGCGTGGTGGTACCACTTCTGATTCATGTCGAGAGTTCCGCCCCTGATTCATTCATCGTGGACATGACATGTCCACGAGGACACGGAAAGCACCATCACCATATGATGATGCCTGCCTCATGTTATTTCGTCTCGCACACACACAACCACCATGAACGAATGTTCTTACTAATTATTATCTCTTGATAGCAACTTTTTTGAGCAGCACAGCAGCAGTAAATGATCTCCCCCCCCCCCTGTTATTTTGCGTGTGTGTGTGCGACATCCTCTCTGTCTGTCTATTTTTTTTTTATATATCATCGCCATCAATGCTTTTTCAATGACCCCGCATCATCATCTTGAACTTGCTTGTTGTTCTTCAGCCTAGCATGGGCTGTGGGTTGTGTTAGGTATCTCCACAGAATGACACGGGAATGAATATTCAAGATTTGGAAGAGAAGAGTCGCGTCCCAACCAAACAACGTACCGTTCGTTATGAGTCTCACACTCGTGTTAGACTGTTGAAGGATATTCCAAAAATGAAGAGTGAGAAAACCTAGCAAGTTATGGTTTGTCCAAAGGAAGAAAGCGAATTGATTCAAGCGGCGTTTTATTGGGAATCGAGAAACTGCAAGCAAGCGTAGATCACGAACTAACAAGGTTCTCAGTGAGATTCAGCCCCAGGAAACACCAGTTGCCTGAGATAGGCACATAGGCACACCTTGGGCCCCCGGGTGTGTGTGTGTACAGCAAGCAGTGTGCAGATGCAATATATGTATCGATACACGAGAGAGACAAAAATCGGATTTCGACGTCGTCGCCAGTACATGATATGGTGTTGAAGTTACGTCCGTTTCTTCCGGTTCAATACCATCGTACATTGTGCTACGAACTCACAGCCCCACAGACGGCAACACATACCTGCAACAAAGCGAGACACCGCCAACTCACACACGAACAGCGGTATCGGAGCATTTAGTACGGCCGACGGGGTTCCGTCCCTATCGTTGAATTTGTATTTCAACCAACCAACCAGTCTCCTCTCTCCTCTCGGTACTTTTCCCGCCGCAAGGAATGGGGTCCGCATCAAATGCCCAACCTTAGAGAAATTCTGGAAATTGTTCTCTAAGTTGTTTTCTGCAGTGACCAAGAGATAAGCACTACTGTGCATTACCCGGCAGAAAACGGCGAGAACGGTTTTAGTGAGAAGTTAAAACCGGGCTAAGTGAATTTTTTGTAGGTTTGCACGACGGGGACGGGGGTGGGGGGAAGGTGAGATGGTTGAAAAAAGCCGCAACCAAACAGAAAAACAAATTCCAACTCAGGCCAGCCACTCACCCAGCTCTCCAGGCCCCGGCCTTTTAATGCACGGGGTTGGCGTTACCATTCGTCAACCCACTGGTAGCCTCCACTTAGGGGGAGGTTGGGCGGTAAGCGGGGAACGAATGATGAGTGATCCATGACTGGGCTGGCACAACACCCGAAAAGGGGGGGGTGAAGGATGCTTGGAGGAAATCAGGAGGTCGTTTGCCTCTAGCCGCTGCAACCACTCGCCTTATGCGTACGACAAGGCGAGGCGAGGTGAGCGATACAGAGTGGCGGACTGAAACCTATCATCCGGGAAGAAGGGGGGGGGAGTGGGTAGCACAGGTGTACAATTTTGCGCGGAATGCGTGGGTGCACAACGCCAACGAAGGTAATGGGTATAGTGGAGGGGCACCGCTCTCGCGCGCCTGAGCGATCGATTTACTTGGCGTCAACACCCGCTTTTTAGCTTCTGTGAAACCAAGCACGAGACTCTCTTCTAGCTGTTACACACAAAAGCTGTTTGCCCTGGTCTTGACACTCTCACCCGAAACATAGGCGTAAAGTCGTCGCTGATTTCCCCCCCACGCCGATGCGAGCACTAAGCTCGTGTCCCTCAACTCCGCGGGTCTAAACACCCACCCATTTTCCGTGAAGGATGGATGTTGCCCGTCTGTGATAACAGAGGCATTCAAGAGAATCCGCGAAGAATATGTTTCGGCCATCGTTAACTGTTGTTGGATCCAAGCAATTAGGTGAGCTGATCAGTAAAGTAGCGTGTACACGATGCCGTCGGGGCAGCTCGTAGCTTGTTTTGCTCATTAGCTTGATGTCGCCATCAAACCCAGGCGGTATTGCCTGTGGATGACTGTTTACATACGAAGCGCATTCATTTTCTCGGTGTATAGACTAAATCGCTTGAATCCAGAGCACGAACGGTTTCATCTCTCCAAAAATTAATACCCCGTCGTTGTGTTTCCCAATCTCTCCCTTTCGCCTTCGCGAGTTTGTGTATGCGTGTGCACGCACGCTGGATTCCCAATGGCGCTCCTGATGCGGGCCATTATTATTCCCGGTGCTTGACTGAATCGTCCCGAAAGCGTGTGACGTCGTGCGTAATATCTAGCTAGCTTCTGCTTTTCCCATGCGTCACTGGCTGACCGTCGCTTGCCGAACGGTATCGACCCTCCACACACAGATGACTTACACAGCAGTTCACCCCTCGCTATTTGACACCGCTACCGCCCGGATAAGTCAAGCACCCACGCACATACGCACGTGCTAATTTTTTTGACTCTTTTGCATGCATACTACGTCATACGTCATCCGCGCACATTGCACCTACAACTGTATGGTACAGTAGTTTCAAAGCCAAAAACAAGAATACCATGAGTGTAGACGACGTGTTGACATAAAATATCCCGAGTAATACACACGTCCAAGTTTTTCAGGGGTACCAACACGGCCGCGGCGGTTCACAAGTCGACACACGCTGGCCGCCCCTCGTTGCCCCCCCCCCACCTCTGTCTGGCCTTCGCAAAGATATTCAGCAGAACATGTTGTCTGGCATTTATTTTTAGCTCATCCATGGTAGACAACGCTTTCGCGAGCTCCCCAGCGTCCATACATAGTTGTTCATCCAACTCTGGACTGCGCAACATTGATTTGACAAACCACGCATCGGTTCGCACACACCCCGTGATATATCCCCTGTTCGTTAGTTTCGACTCTTTTCCTCGGCCGTATGCGTGATGTGCAGATCATGTGCTGTTTGAGCCTAGAAGTAGCCAGATGTTCGACAGCAAAACCGTCGATACCAGATGCCTGCGTACGTGCACGATAATAAAATGAAAGTAAAGATATATTGTGATATGGGTGTGTTTATTTTTATTAATTATTTTTCAGGTTTAGGCGTAATAAATGGGGATGGGGTTGTTTGATTTAATTAATTGGTTTTAGGTTTGGGGAGTACAGATCGATGTCACGTACATCGCATTCATTCTCTGCCAAGAGCCGGCGGGGTGCCTACAAAAAGAATGCCTGGAATTTCCCTGAAAGAACAACCTTGAAAACACCTGTGTGCAAGTCTTGAGGGGGCGCCCTCTTCCGTACCTCAGAGTACTTACTTGGCTTGTTTCTCATAGCCAGCCGGA